CAATAATTACAGCTACTGTTTATTGGTACATCCTTGCTAGATAACCATCCAAATCTGCATCACGTAATGCCCATCGACCGTAACCCTGGGTCATTGTTATATAGCTTTATCTGTTTCTGTTTTTTAAAGTTTTATTTGTTTATATTCTATGTATTTTGAAAACATTTGAAGTGAGCTAGAATCAAGGGCAAGATAAATTAACAAAACGATTAAAGCATGATTCAGTGTGGAGATGGCAATTAGGGAATTCCAGGCAACTACAGATAAGGGAGGCTATTGTATTTGAGTAAAGGAAGTAATCCTGAGATTACTGGCAGCAAAAGAAAAAGAGAAACCCAAGGGATTCCTTAAGCCTTCTGATCTAAGGCAAGGGAGTCGATCAAGGGAGGCAAATATTCTCCAAGCTCTGTTCTATGAAGAATAATCACAAGGCTTTTTATACAATGTACATTTTAAAAGGTATAATGGACAGTGGTTCTTTGCCAGATGTTTTACCAGAAATGTGAGTATATTTCTTATAAGATCCCTTAATAGAAACCAGACTCAAAGTTGTTGCTGTTTTGTTAATAATAGATAAATAGTACTTAACTGCTTCCATAAGTCCACTTTCTGTTGTGCTATCCCAGATGAAAGAGAGATGGAAGTGGTCTCAAAGAAGTGAATTTCATTTTTTTCTACCCCCAGGAGAACAATGAATGTCACTCCTAGGCAATTCTACTGGGGAGGGAAATTCACCTGGACTCGTCCCGTTGCAGGGCCACACCCAATTTTCTCTCAATTTTCCATAGATTTTTCCTCTGCAGACAATTGCAAGGTAGAACCTGGGGGTGATTTCAGAGGTCTCAGGTTTTGACTGTAGCTCTGAATGCAATGGTAGAAGTGTGAACCCTGCAGAAGCCTTATATGGATGCTCAGACACCAAATGCTGGGGACTGAGTGAAAGAGGCAAAAAGATTTGCAATATTGTCTCCTTAGGATCTCTTGCCCCCATTTTTTTTTGCCATTGTCTTTTGCACAGAAGATTGATATTCTTTGTTAAATGGAAGCCAGCCTTTTAAATATTTTCTGCAGACTTTCAAGTGATTTCTAAATTGATCCAAGTATGAACCTTTCTGGAGATAGGATTATACATACAAAGTTTAGAAGTAGATTATTTGTGGGGTGCCTGGGTGGCTCAGTGGGTTAAGCGTCCGACTTTGGCTCAGGTTATGATCTCCTGGCTTGCAGGTTTGAGCCCCGTGTTGGGCTCTGTGCTAACTGCTAGCTCAGAGCCTGGAGCCTGTCTTTGGATTCTGTATCTCCCTCTCTCTCTGACCCTCCCCTGCTTGCTCTCTCTCTCTCAAAAAACAAATTAAAAAAACATTTAAAAATAATAAAATAAAAGAAGTAGATTATTTGTATATTATGACATAAATGATCTCAAGTTTTTGGTTTTGTTTTTTTTAAATAACTTCATAACCAGGATGCTAAGTTAGTAATATTCAGTGAGACACTCAATTCTCAAGCAAATATTTTGGGACGGGGCAACCATTTTATACTCAGAGGCTGGCTAGCTGACTCTGGAGTTAGAATATAGGGAGGTGGATCAGCTTTAATACATTGTGCCACTGATTCAGTTATTAGTTATTTTCCATTAACTAACTGGCATAAAATTCAAATTTGAGATCCCTAATGATGCCTAAAATATAGGCATTTTGTTCCATCAATTCAAAAGGGATTCATATCCTGTAGAAACCAGTTAAGAAATAATTGAATATGGGGCGCCTGGGTGGCTTAGTCGGTTAAGCGTCCGACTTTCGCTTAGGTCATGATCTCGCGGTTCGTGGGTTCAAGCCCCGCGTCGGGCTCTGTGCTGACTGCCAGCTCAGAGCCTGGAGCCTGTTTCAGTCTCTGTCTCTCCCTCTCTCTCTGACCCTCCCCTGCTCACTCTGTCTCTCTCTCTCCTAGAAATAAATAAAAAAATTAAAAAAAAAAAGAAATAATTGAATATAAGAGGTCACCTTACCTCCAACTGTGAGTTCTTCCCCCTCTGTACAGAACTGAGACTAAGCAGGGCCAAGCCTTTTGTCAAAAGCATAGGTATGGATTTGCTCAAGAGCCTAGACACAAAGTCAATTGAGAACTCAAAGTTTTGTTTCAGAAAATGTAGAACAAACTGTTGAATGGCAGCAGACCTTAAGCAATATCACTGGCAGGAGAGATGAAACCAGACAGCTGTATTGAGCTGAAAAGAAACCCTCCCTGAGTCATACTGACATGAAGACAGAATCAGGAGGGGAGGCAGAGCAGATAGGGATGCAGGGCAAGGACCCCAACTTTCATTTATTTATTCATTCACTTGCTCACTCACTCATGAGTCAAACACAAAATGAGTTATTTTCCACCTAGAGTGGATTCTTCTCAACAGTGACATGAACTCCTCCCGGTGCTGGAAATAGTATGAGAAAAATATATAAAATTAGGGTCTGAGTCAAACATAAATGGGCTTGGAAAGGTAAATTGGGTCAAAATTATGGAGAAATTTGAATGCCAGCCTTGATTAGGAGGGGTTAGTCTTGATTCTGCAGACAACAGAGGGGAAGGGGTATCCACATTTTAATAAGGGAATGACACACATAGAACTGTGCCAAGATCTATTTGGAATAGAGAACTGATCTGTGGTGTGGACTTGGAGGTAGAGAGGGGCTACTGCATTTGTTCATGTTAAAGGTCATTACAGCTGGAACTGTAGCTAGGGATGAAATTACTAAAGAAGAGGTAGAATGGGTCAAAGAACCTTAGGAAACACTCATATTTTGGGACAACAGGAGACAAAGAAGCCAAAGGAGAGCTTGAGGAAAGATCAGGGATGGAAGCCAAAAGAGAAGGAAATTTCCAGAATATAGAAGCTGATTAGTTTTGGTACTTTTGTATAACCAAGGAATACAAGGACTGAGACACGGCTATTTGAATTAGGTGCTGAAAGATCCTTGGGGACATCTGAAAGAGCAGATGAAGGAATAAGTGGAATTGTAAAGCAGTAAGTATATTCTACTTTTTCGAGAATTAGATCATGAAATGAAGAAGGGAAGTTTGAGAGAACATTAATTTTGTCATTAGAAAGTTTTTGGTTCCAAGTAACAGAAAAAGCAACCCCAAGGTCTATATAACTCAAGCATCTATGAGAGTAGTTCAGGCTTCAGGCATGGATAGATTCAGGCTTCAACCAGTGCCATTGGTATTTCCTAGTTTGACTCTGCTTTTCACCCTATGGTGGCTTCATTTTCAGGTTCCTTGTGGTGGCAAACTAGCTATAGTAAATTCAACTTCCTATCTTCCCAAGTTCAAACAAATCCAGTGAAATCAAAAGAGAAGGCTTTTACCTAGTAGCTTAAGCCACATCCTAGGATTAGCTCTGTTTGGGCTTAGATTGCCTTGCCTGGAGTCAAGGGTCCATTCCTGATGGAGATAGAATTCACTCATAGGTCTAGCCCTGGAGATGGAGCCCTAAGGAAGCACATGAACTAACGATGGGAAAGGGAATGGTTCCCTGGAAGAAAATCAAAGAACTGTTGATAGAGAATGAAGAATGGCTGAGGGTGGCAAAAGAGAGTGTCCAAACACCAGGTTTGAAAAAAAGACAACTGATGGATAGAGGCCTGGAGCACAAGGGAGGGTATGGGATCAAGGTATAATGGATGAAGACCATTTCAAAAGAAGGACATGTTCTCATTTCTGAGATGGAAAAGAAGGAGAGGATAGCAAAAAATGACACATAAACAACTTGATATGGGGTGGCAGGGGTGGGGAAGGAGCTGAGGGTGCATATGGTCAATAGCCTCACTTTCAAGTAAACGCTCGAGAGAAGTAATAGGTAGTGTTAGTTCTTTTTGAAAAATTATTTAAATCTATTGCGCCAATTATAGCAAATGCACAACAAATAGAAGCTGAAAATCAAATTCTACAGTTAATGTATCAACTGCTTTCATTTTTTATATGGTAGACACAATCTTCATAAAGTTTAAGCATGAATGTTTTTGCTTTACATATGTTCTTCTTAATGATTTGAATTGCATACTATTTCATTGAGTAGATGTATCACAAATCACTGAGCAGTTCCACTAGAAAAAACATGCAGTTTATTTTCATAGTTTATTAGAAGTAATACTACCATTACTATGTACTTAGCTGCTTACTTTTCTTGATAGTATTTCTGAAGCAAAAGTTCCCCAAAATGGGATGATTGTGTGAACAGGAATAAGGAGTTTTTACCTCTTAAGCATGTTACAAAGGTACCTTCCATAAGGTACATACAACTGTCAGTGCTCCCAACCATAAACATGGAATTACTAGTTTCATCACACATGAAGTATTTTAGACATTTTAATTCATTAATGTCTTATTGATAACAACTACCATAATGTGCTGAGCACATGCACATGAGGATGGGTCTACAAACTTGAGTCATGTAAATCCATTTCTTTTCACAACACCTTGTGAGGGGAAAAACTGATGATCTTTGTTTTTAAAGATAAGGAACCTAAGATTCAAAGAGGTTCTTAAGGAAAATGCTAGAAAGTGATAGAATGGGCATCAGAACCACAAAAACCTGAATCAAGAGCCTGCATACTCAACCACGAGGTTATACTGACTTGTGATTGTGTCTGATTAACATTTCCCCAAGTGTGGCTAACAATCCATACACATTTTGTGAGGATTTCATCATGTCCTCTTCTGTAAGATTCTTTTTTGATGGGTCTGCCCCATCAAAAGGGACAACACAGGGACAATAGTGGATATTTCTTATGGATTTGGATACCTCAGATGGTCTGAATGGGGAGATTTTTTGTAATTCATGCATTTTTTTTGGTTTACCTTGCCAATATGGAAAGTTCAGAAACTAAGCATCACGTTGCTAAATATTAAAAATAATTTGTTTCATCCATCCAGGATACCCCAGGCTTTTTAAAAAATTCTGATGATTCTACAATTCAACTCTGCCAGTTACCATGGAAACATACCTTCCGGGTTTGCTTGAACATCTGAAATGTGGGTACTGATTTGATGTGATAACTTTGGGCCAACTCCTGGGAAAAGAAACAAATGGCATGAGGTCACAATTTTGGTATCCTCTCTCTATCCAGAGCCCGGAACTTGGTGACTTCTCAGGAGGCATGTCTGAAAGCCGAGGGACAGCTAACACTTTACTGGTTCTCTTGCCAAGCATTTTTCTAACATGTCTTCAAAGCCTCCAGGAATGTTATAATAGAAAATGGCTGCTCCTCACATTCCTGAGGCTTTTCATCCCAGAGCCCTAGGAGAGGGCTGAGAGATGGAAGCCCAAATAGAACAGATGTTGAAGGATGAAATGAGCTCTATTTAAAAGAAGCTGTGAGGGGCGCCTGGGTGACTTAGTCAGTTAAGCATCTGACTTTGGCTCAGGTCGTGATCTCACGGCTTATGGGTTCGAGTCCCACGACTGGCTCTGTGCTGACAGCTCAGAGCCTGGAGCCTGCTTTAGATTCTGTGTCTCCCTCTCCCTCATCCCATCCCCCCCACATGCTCTGTCTCTCAGTCTCTCTCTCAAAAATAAACAAACATTTAAAAAAATAAAAGAGGTTGTGAAGGATTACAGAGGGACCTCAGTGGAACCCAATATGGAGATAGCATATTGCGAAAATAAGAAAGAGTAAAGTTATCTTTATAATACACACTTGAGACATGGGGTGATATACTGGTCTTGCATTTTAAGTAAGGTTTGCGTGTCTCTTTCTCGTAAGCCCTATTCCCTACTTCACTGCCCATCTTTGTGAAAGATGAACCAAAAGACAAGAAAATATATCAGAATTCCAATTATTTTAATCCATTACAATCTGCTCTTCAATACCAGTTTTTATCCTGTTTAGAGTAAAAAATATTAGCCACCCACAGGATCAACAGAATTAGACTTTTCCAGTATACTTATCATTTTATAGGGTGAATCTCTCCCCTGCTGTCTATAACACACACACACACACACACACACACACTAAATTATAATTTTCATGATCACAGCAATGATAATAAATTACTGTTTAAAAAATTGTGTATTTTGTTTCACCTAAAAGGGAAAGAACTATAATAAAAAAGGCAGACAATAACATGTGTTGGCAAAGATGTAGAGAAATCAGAGACCTCACACATTGCTGGTGGAAATGTAAAATGGCGTGACTGCTTTAGGAGACTCAACAAAAGAAGATATGTACCCAAGAAAAATGAAAAAATATATATATAAATGTTTATACCAGTATTACTCCTAAAAGTCAAAAGGTGCAAACAACCCAAATGTCCATCAACAGATGAATGGCTAAATAAATTGTATATCCAAATAGTGGAATATTATTCAGCAATAAAAATGAATAAAGTATTGATACATGGAGGAACCTTGGAAGCTTATGCTAAATGAAAGAAGCTAGTCACAAATGACTGCCTATTTGATGATTCAATTTATATGAAATGTTCACAATAAGCAAATATATAGACAGAACATAGATTTATGGTTGCCCAGAGTTGCGACAGAAGGAACTGGGGGTAACCAGTAGAACTCCAAAAGTGTGGGGTTTTTTTTGGAGGGGTGATAATGTTCTAAAGTTGATTGTAGTGATGGCTGCACGACTCTGTTAATATAAATAAACGACAAAGAGATAATGATCCTAGATGTATTCTGAATGCATATGATTCAGCTTAAAGGGCATTTAAACACTGTCACACTCTGATAAAGCTTATAGGAAATGGAAGAAATGGAATTTCTATTATGTTCTGGACACTATGTCATATATTTTGTGTATTTTATCTCATTTTATATTCTGTTAAGTATTATTTGCCCTGTTTTACAGATGAAGAAACTGAAGTTTGTAGAGTTAACTGATAAGAGGTCACAAAACTATTAACAAAAAGAATGGGTAAATAACAGATTTTTTTTGGTTATTCTGAAGCTCAAATTCAATCCAATACGTGCAAAGATCACTTGTTACTGTTTTTTTTTTTCTAGTTGTAAATGAACAAATGTTAAGAAGAATATTTTTTTGGTACCTTGTATATATTAATGAGGCACATTTTAAAAATATACATTATTTAAATGTTTGAGAGAGAGAATGGGGAGGGGAGAGGCAGAGAGAGAGGGAGAAAGAATCCCAAGCAGGCCCCATGCTTGGCATGGAACCCAACCCAGGGCTCAATCCTACGATTGTGAGATCATGACCTGAGCCAAAATTAAGAGTTGGATGCTCCACTGACTGAGCCACCCAGGTGCCCCATTAATGAGGCACATTTTGACTAAAAACATGAGGTTGATTATTTTGGGGGAAGGTGAGGAAAGGAGGCTCTAGGGAGGGACAGGGGGGAAGGATTTGTTGGAATATTTTGTGATGTTTTAAAAAACCCACAAAAACCATAAGCTACCACAAGAGGAAAGCAAGATATAAATGCATTGAGCTGTGTTTCAGACATTGATTAATAATCCACTACAAAGGTGAAAATCACTTTTCCCCTTGAGCCCAATACGACCCAACTGGTATTGTCAGGTTAGAGCCAAATCTGCTGATCAGGATTCTAGGGCAGAGCCAAGGGTAAATGGAGAAAAATGTTGGGATTGAGGAGTGAAGTCTGTCATAGTAAGGGAGGGGAGGGGGCAGCGGGAGAGTCACATACTTGTTGGGTTTTGTTTTGAACATTAATACAGAACACAAGAACATTATAAGGATGTTTATCACCATTTATCAGGAAAACATCATGAGATTGTATTCAATGTAAAATTGATTATATAATCACTGACGTGCTGTCAATGACACTGCATTTGGATTTTATGTATCCCCACAGAAGGACTTAAGGTTCTTACCTTAGAATCATCCACATCCACATTAGCAAACATCACATTTCGGTATTGCAGAGACATTGCCTTCAAAATAAAAGAATAAAAATTCCCTATTAGCTTAGTGTTAATACTAAATTACATACTAGAATTACACACTTGTCTTTTGGCATAAAACACACAATGAACAAAAAAGTTGCTTACAAGAGCTAAGCATCACTTTGGCACTTCACTACAGCCTAGAACTGGAAGCACCAAAGTCAAATATGGGATGATTCAGGTCAAGCAAAGAACCAGAGTGGCAGAACCAGAGTCTGAAGAACCAAACTGAAGATCAGAGTTTTGAAGTTAGGAAAGGACATGAAGTGAAGAAATAACAACATGTATATCGAGGGACAGATAGCTTTTTCCTGGCATGGCAAGAGGTGGAGGCTGCCTTTAGTGGTCTTCAAAATCCAGATCCATGAGTGGTGCCGGGGTAATTAAGCATCCGACTCTTGATTTTAGCTCAGGGCATGATCTCCCGATCGGTGGGTTCGAGCCTCACATCAGGCTCGATAGTGACAGTGCAGAGCCTGCTTGGAATTCTCTCTCTTCCTCTCTCTCTGCCCCTCCCCCGCTCTAGCTCTTTTTCTCTCATAAAAAAAAAAAAAAACACACCAAAACTTAAAAACATTACAAAAAAAAATCACAAATCCCTGAACCAGATGCCCAAACTCTGCTTTATCTACACCTCTTGCAAGGCTTTTTGGGAGGCTCTTATGACTGAGGTGATACAAAAATGTGTGTGCCAACCCTTGGCCTAATTGCTTTTTGCTTTTATTGACATCTTCCATGCTCTACTTTCCAGGATCCTTTGCCAGTTGTCTTCTGTGTACGTTTTGCCAATGGGATGTGTTTGGAAGAAAACAGGTGTGAAGAGGAAAGAAACCACTCTCTCTTGCTTCTGTTTTGTTCTGAAAGCATCTTTGGCAGCAGTGGTGACAAAGGTGTTGGTAATGGGTCCGGGGGTAGGGGAAGCAGCAGCAGCAGCCTATAAACATCAGCTCTTGAGTTTTTTTTTTCTTCAGACAGCTGCATTCATACGTTAAGGACACTTAAAAGCATCTTGGTTTGTCTGCTTTAACATCGTATCTCAAGCATTTCCAGTGACCTATTTCAAATGGGACCTCTCTCTGATGGTATGGGGTGTCTGGAGACAGTGGAGACAGGAAGAAGCTGTCACCGGGAGCTGCTCCCCCTGAGAAGCAGGAAGAAGCATGCCATGGATCAGGTTGATATGTGCAGAGCTCTACTGGCAGGCATTCTCTCCAGTTGTTTGTTCATGGATTGTGACTGAAGTGGGAGCTCTTTCTTCAGTGGCCCACCAAGATAGTGAAAATGGAGAAAAACTCTTAGATAATAGACACAAAGCCTTTGGGATTTCAGACTATTTTTCAGATGAAAAAAGAAGCTGATTTTGGTCAGCAGTAGCTCAACACCTGGCAGGAAAATGGTGTTGCCCACAAACTCTAGGACAATTGACTTGCACTTTTCAAGTCTGAGGATATACGGATATTCCCCAGTAGGAGTCATGGGAATAGGTGTGAACTATGTGAGTATCTAATTCTATTTATGAAGGCTTCAGGGCCTCACAAGTCTATCAGGAAATAGACAGGGAATACGGCAGCTGTCACTTTGCATAAAGTAGTACCCAGAAGACATGACATAGGTACGATTCTCTGCTAGGTCAGGGTTCCCCTATAGACATTGCCTCCCCTTATTATTTTACTCCATCCACCCAGGACCCCTTCTCTGCCCCCAAAAACTCTTCTTTCTGCTCTGTCCTTCCTTATATGTAGTCTGTTACCATTTGATCACCTATTCTGTTGGTCTTAACTCTAAAATATCTCCTTGAATTTGATCTTTTCTTTTTTCTCCAGAACTACTGGAGTAGTTTTGGGAAACCTATCACTGAGGTTGTTGTCCTTTTGGATTACCTGCCTTCAGTCCTTCTAAACCATTCTTATACAGCACTGCTCAGAATATTCTCTAAAATCGCTATTTGACCATGGTAAAACCCTTTTAAAAACTCTTCCGTTTTGACTATCTCTAACAACTCATTAAATTATAATACAAGGTCCTTCTTGATTTGGCCTCAACTTTCTTTTCGAAGCTCATTTGTCTCCACGCTGCCACAAACACTGTAAGTTAGCCTCATGGACTACTTGCCTTCTTATGATCACACCATGTAATTTCTCAACAAACTGATAATCTCTCCTTTCCCAGAAATGCTTTTATCAGGGTTCTATGTCTGGTGATCCTCTTAGCCCAGGGTCAGCAAACTGCACCATGTAGAAGAAATCCAGGTCTCCACATGGCCTTGTAAAGTAAATTTTATTGGAACACAGTTTGCCTGTTCATTTGTGCATTGCCATTGGATGTTTCTGCTCGACAACAGCAAAGCTGAGTAGTTCTCACAGAGACCATATGGCCCACAAACCTGAAGACATTGACTGTCTTGTCCTTTACAGAAGTTTAGCTGACTAACTTCCATTCCACCTTCCCACAGAGCCAGGAAAGGAAAAGAGGTAGAGATTCCTCAGACTTGCTTGCAGCTAGGGTTCTGGATGCAAATTGGTTTTACCAATGAGATACATGTAGGAGAGACTTCGAAGGCAGAGTGAGACAGCAGCTACTTTCTTCTTGTCTTCCTTGTCTTCTTGGCTTCTTGTCTTCGGAGAGCAAGACTGTGGTTCAGAGAGCAAGAAGTGGTTGTGCTGGAGGCAGCAGCGGAAGCCAAACTCAGGATCTGGTGCCTGGATATCAGCTTCCTGGACGTCCAGAGGCACTTGCAGCTGTAGTGGCCTCTTGATCCTGGTTCTGATTTCCAACTGCTGCTCTCCCATATAGATCGTGGCTTCCCATCTATACTCACTTCTGATTATGGCAAAGTTTAGATTCCCAAAGGTGGGTCTGTAGTGTTCTGAGAGACTCATACCTAGAGCCTATTCATCTAGTCTTCCAATAATTTTATAAGCATTTAATTCCTTGCATTAAAATTATTTTCTGCTTAGGGATGCCTGGGTGACTCAGTTGGTTAAGTGTGTGTCTCTTGATCTTGGCTCAGGTCATGATCTCATGGTTCAGGGGTTTGAGTCCCATGTTGGGCTCTGTGCTAACAGTGCAGAGCCTGCCTGGGATTCTCTCTCTCTCTCTGCCTTCTCCACCCCCTGCTCTCTCTTTTGAAAATAAATAAATAAACATCAAATAAACTCTTCTCTGTTTAACTTCGTTTCTGTTGCCTGCTTTGACCTTTGACTAACAAAGTGACCCAGAAGAAGTGAAGTCTTTTCTCCATGCCCTTATGTACTAGTTAAAAAAAATTACACACATGGTACATGAATATATTATCATGCAAAAGTTCAAACATCACAAGAAAAAGAAAGCAATCCAAATTTAACACCCTTTCAGTGAAAAAAGAAACTTCTTTGATATGCATCCTTCTGTTCCCCTTTCCTCTACATATGTGTGTTTATATAAATAAACATACATATATGTGTCTGTTTTACGTAAATGAGACCATACTATATAAGTTTTTCTATACTGTACTCTTTTTAGTTAACGCTATGTTGTCTTGGAGATGATGCCATCATTCCATACGGGTCTACTTGATTCTTTGTAACATCTGGATAGCATTGCAGTCTGGATGTGCCAAAATTTATTTTAAAACTATATTTGCATTAGTCTGGATTCCAACAGGAAACATATGGGACATCATTTGGGGAGGTTTATCTCCAAAGGGATGACTAAACCCATGAAGGTAGGAATGAGTGTAGGAAGAGGGGCAGGAGCCTGGACAGAACAGTGGTAGAGCTGTTAACCCCCTAATGGCAAAGGTACGAAGGGAGAATTACTAAACCTTAGATTTCATTGCACTTTCTGAAAATGTCCCGTGTTGGCTGCTGGAATTTGATCGGCTTGGACATTGTGGCATGTGAGTATATTTAGACCCTGGAAGCTGAACACCGAAGACTTTCTTTAATTGAGTATCAGGATAAAGGGAGCTGTGAGATAAAATGTTTCTTCTGGATATTCCCAGAATTTCAGGCAGGGAATGGATGTTGAGATGTCATGTAACCAGTTTCTCTATTTGAATATAGGTCTATTTTTTTTTTTTTTATTTTTTAAAGTTTATTTATTTTTGAGAGAGAGAAAGAAAGAGAGAGAAGGAGGAAAGGGCAGGGAGAGAGGGAGAGAATGTCAAGCAGACTCCACACTTGTCTGCACAGAGCCCAATGTGGGGCTCAAACTCATAAACCATGGGATCATGACCTGAGCCGAAACCAAGAGTCAACACTTAACCGACTGAGCCACCCAGGTGCCCCTGAATCTAGGTTTATTTTTAATTAAATGTCAAAAGACTGTAGTTACAATGAATTCGGGTGATTTAAGAGTTCAAGTTGAAACTGTAGAAACCTTTCTGAAAAGAAACCAGAGTGTTTTCAGTTGTGTAGAGAAATCAAAACTTGTTTAAATTTGAAGAAATAGTTTTCACAAAGTTGGCCATAAGCGAAACTTCTGCATGAGGAGGAGAAATGAAAATGCCCTGAAGTGCTTTCTGTGGCATGTGATACCAAAAATAAAATAGTTGAAACTTTTAAATGGGGCAACAAGGAAATTAACTAGATGAAATATTGTATAGACATTAAAATTGTAATCAAGAGACCCTACAAAATCATGAATGACTGTGTACATGGAAAAAAACCCTGAATATAAATATACGATTACAACTAAGAATATTTTACTAAAATATTTTATAAACTAGATCAGACATGAAAGGAATATAAAAGACATAAGTTCTGATAATAGGGTTGAAGGATGGGGAAGTTTATTCTCTTATAGTTAAAAAGAAGTATCATGTTTTTCTATAATCTATTCCACTATTGGGAAGTTATAAATTCTGGAACTTTGGTAAAATATCATTATTATGAATAATCCGTTCATTTGTACAACTGTACTCTTTTTTGTAATAATACACATCTTTTATTTATCACAGTCTACTTTAAGTATTATTTTATCAAAAACGTTTTATGTTTGTTTAGTTATTTTTGAGGGAGAGAGAGAGAATACAAGTGGGGAAGGGGCAGAGAGAGAGGGAGACACGGTATCTGAAGCAGGCTCCAGGTTCTGAGCCATCAGCACAGAGCCCGATGTGGGGTTTGAACCCACCAACTGTGAGATCATGACCTGAGCTGAAGTCAGACGCTTAACCGACTGAGCCACCCAGGTGCCCCACAACTGTACTCTTTTGTACATCTGGGTTTTCCTTGCCGAATTATCCATGGGCAGGTAGTATTAACCTTCTGGTGTGTGTACTAATGATCTAAACAGATCTTGGTATATTAGCTTTGGGATAATCAGGATGCTTCAAAAAACTGATTTCATATGGCCCATAAAGGTAAACTTTTTAAGATTTACTAAAAAAATATTAGGGGATTTAAAATTCCTTCTAAAACTGTGAAATGTATATAGATGATACTTACATGAATAAGAGGATAAATCCTTTTGCAAGGACCACACCATTTTGCTGAAAATTCAACCACCACAAGTTTGCATCCAGCAGCTTTCAAAAATGTTTTTAATTCATCCTGAGACCAGAACATAAATGAAAAAATACGCATTATCACTGAATCTCAAAAAGCCTTGCAGAGAATAAATGTTCCTCATTTACTGACATGAAGAACTTCAGTTCATGAAAACCTTAGCAAGTTACTCCCACCTTATCATTCTCCAGGGGACCCACCTTTCCTAAAGGTCCCTGACGTCACATATACTGACCTTTGTAAGTATACATAAGTGAGGACAAATCTACAAAAAAATGATTAGGAGTGTATTTACCAAATGTGGTTGGTAATGGTTGATTACCTCTGGGGAGAAGTGATACTGGACAGTGAGAGAGAAGGAGTGGAAGGTAGTGGTGGATGGTTGTTCAAGGTGGACATCTAGATTTGATTTATTTCTTATTATTTTTTTAAATTTTCTTTTTAATGTTTTATTTATTTTTGAGAGAAAGATAGAGACAGCATGAGCAGGGGAGGGCTAGAGAGAGTGGGAGTCACAGAATCTGAAGCAGTCTCCGGGCTCTGAGCTAGCTGTAAGCATGGAGTCCAACGTGAGGCTCAAACCCACAAACCGGGAGATTATGACCTGAGCCGAAGTCGGACGCTTAACCGATTGAGCCACCCAGGCGCCCCTAGATTTGATTTCTTTAAACAAGGACCTAAACATGCATTAATGGTTTAATTTAAAAGGAGAAGAAGTAATCTAACACCTTAATCATTTTTCGTTTTTGATTTGTTTTGGGAGGAAATCATTACCAAAGCTGTAGTCAAAAACTATGTATTTAAGAATTTGACATGCTTCTTGCTGAACGTCTTAAGCAAATTTTCCACCAGCTGTCCAAATCACCTAAAAAAAGGTTTCCCTTCCTGGAACCTCAAATTGTTTTATCTAATCTTCCTTGCTTTATGGACACTGATTGTTCAGATTCATTATTTCATGCATGGCTTCTCTCCCCCAACAAATCCCTACAGAATTCAATCCTGATTCGTTCCTGAACCTCCATAGACTCTGACTGGCACATAGTAAGTGCTCATGGAGTGTTTAGTTGATGAACTGATTTGCTAATATACAGTGTTTTGTCCAAGATTTACTTTTCCTTTTTTCATTGCAATTACAATGATAGTAACTAATTTACTCTGTGCCTGATGTTCTCTCCTTTAATCTCTACAACCACCCTACTGAGTGGGTATTATCATTATCTCCATTTTACAGATGAAAAAACAAATGTTTATTACTTTCTCCCAGTCAACCAGCTGGCGAATGCTGTGGTTAGGATTGCTAACCTAGGAAGCCTAACTCCAGAGTCCATTTCCTTAACCACTACACAAAATCATCTCCTGAGTTTTTCCTAGTTGTGGGGCTCCCTCTCCCTCTCATGGTCCTGTTTCCATCATGTGCTCATCCCTTGACCAATCATCAAGATCAGAGGATGGGATCACTAATTAGGTCAAGTCAAGCAGTGCCTATCACTGGTATTAGGGATGGGGTTAATTCCATTCTAATGGCACACTGCTCTGTAATAAGAGAATCTCGACAATTACGTTGACATTTGATTTGGTTTCAAGCAGGTGAAATGGGTGACTTAAGGAAGAAAATGCTCTCTTCCTTTACTCATATTCCTCTAGGGTTGGGGGTAGTTAATCCTCAGAGAGCCATGCCAAGCCCCAATTTCTGACTTGCTTCTGAAATTATGCAGTAGATGCCATCCTCACAAGCCCTAAACACTCTCTCAGTAGCTGCTATGGTGTAAACTGGCTTCCTGGATCCCTGAATTTGACTTGGTTAAGTTCTCTGAAGGGAATACCTTCATAGGCTACATATTGATTTGACACGTACCTATCGAGACCCATGCTATGTCCAGTAATGGACACAATGCTAGTACACAGCTATGGACAAAAAAACCAGACAAACTTTTCCCTACCATCATGGAGTTTACACTTAGAGGGGGAAGCTGTTGGTAAAATCAATAAATAAAATATATAGTATGTAAGTGATCATTGCTAACAAAGAAAAGAGGAGAAAGATAAAGCAAAAAAGAAGGAAATGAACTGGATTAGAGTTGAGGTCTGGGTGGCCATGGTCTGCCTGGAATAGAAGGTGATATTTAAATATAGACATGAAGGAGACAACAGGCCTTCAGGAGAGGTCTCCAAGGAGGAGATGAGAGAGGGCTTCTCAGGGGTCTAGCGAGACCCTGGGTTATTATGGGAGAGCCCCAGGAAATAAAAAAAAGTACTAAACGCATCAGCAAATGTGTGCTATTTTAAAGCATTTTCTTATAGCGAATCTACATGGCAATGCCTTCTTTCAGTCTGGTCAGCCTCATTTTTGTGATAAATTTGGGTAAAATGTCAAAAGTCTAAGGCAGAGGGTGCTGACGCATGACAAGCCCGGGCCCTATGCCTTCCCTCTTCCCTCCAGGGCCAGGTCCCACTGTACCAGGGCCTGGTATCAAAATATCTGGGTCCTAATGCCCATTTCACTCCTAAATGGAGTAGGATGGTAGCCACTCTTAAAGGCAGTTTTCTTCTTTATAAATAAACAATTCTCCCCGCCTATACATGCATTTAGATTTTTGTGGCAATCACATTGGACAATGGATAGAAAGTGACTTTATAAAATACCACCTAAGGAATTGTGGATACTATCGGTTGTCATTTTCCTACCCTATTCCATAGGCATGTCTGAGGTTTCTGTTGTCTTTTAGAATAAGAGAAATACGTGGACTTTTACTTTCATAGAATGTTCTGGGTAAAACTAAGGTGGACTCAGTGGGATCAGGTACAGAAGGGGATGTGTTAGGAGTTGGTCTGGATCCAGCTAGAGTCAGAGCAAGAAGTGAGAGTGAGAGAGGAACAAAACCCTTCTGATCAATTTGTCCCATGGCTACTCTCCACATAGTGCCATTCCTCAAGCAACAGAAAGGAGAGCCATTAAAAAAAACAAAAACAAACAAACTCCCCTTGCTACCGAGGAGTGAAGGAATAGGATTAGAGGAAATCATTCTTAGAGTTTATCAAGTCTGCTCTCAAGGTGGTTCTTTTGAAATATCAGTGAAGCCAAAAATAAATACTTGCCATGTCTTTAATAATCTGAACCATGATTTACTGGGAATTGCTGACGAAACCTTCCTTTTGCTTCCACTGGCTCACCGCAGCAGTCTCTTATCAATTAAAGGATCCTCGCTGGAATAGAAGAGTACTTCTCTATGACATCATTAAATGTGACTGTTTCAGAATCTAGAACTTTGGCAGACTTGAAGCTGATTTCACTTTTATGTCAACCTATGGTCAGCCAAGCACCAGCCAACTGGTTGCAGGTAGACTCAATAATGTGTCTACTTTGATCTCCTATCATCTATTTCCATGACCCCTCTCTTCTTCTCCACCCCTTGCAACCACCAAATGAGAACTAAGCAAGCTAATATTAAGTAGATTAAGTGTCTTTCATGTAGGATTTGAAGGGATTATCTTGCAATTGAAAAAAATACTAAAGCCTTAATCCTATAAGTTTCCTATATATTAGGTTTTATGAGTCATAAATTTCTTAAACTTTGTTATTTTGCTCTAACTTGAGGAGGTAATGAAATTTCACTTTTATGGACTGGATCACAGGTTCATAAACATTTTCTCTGGAGAATCATAATTTGGGCCTTATGGACCACGTGCATGTGGTCTTTGTTGCATATTCTTTGTTTTTCTAATAACATTATTATTATTTATAATAATATTATTATTTTTAAGTAGGCTACATGCCCAATGTGGATTTCAACATGGGGTTTGGACTCATGACTCTGAGATCAGGACTTGAGCTGAGATCAAGAGGTGGACATGTAACTGACTGAACCACACAGGCACCCCTATAATCTTTTAAAAATGCAAAAACCATTCTTAACTGGTGGATCTTACAAAAACAGCCTTTTGCTTAACCTGCAGATGGTGATTTCTTATTTTCCAAAATTTAACGTCAGAAAAAAAAACCAAAAGTGGCCATGACAGATGTTCCCCAAATCTTCTTCAGAGCAATAATAAAAATTAAAGAAGTTGCAGAATTCTATAACAACACAAAAACAGCAAAATGCTCTTTTCTGTTTTTTCCAGACATCCAGTCTGGTCTCTCAGGAATGAGTTTTCTGTCCTTTCCTTTTCCTTTTTGATGAAGTACAAAGTTTGTTCCTGAATAGCCTTTGTAGCAGATAATTGACAGTCACCTCCCAGTACCCATTTCCTCTACTTTCCACTAAAATTACACTGATTTTCCTTTGGGCAAATTTATCTGTCCTCCATTTTACAGCAACTATGCAGTTTGTGCGGGATTAATCTAACCCTAAATCTACGGTTAGACCCTAATTATCTTAATCCAACCAACAACCCTATCTTTAGGTCAAAGGTTAATGAAGAGAGAACAAGAAAGCAAGAGAATGCCATTTCTAGCACTTGTGACACAGTTACTAAAACTTCCTTTTCCTCATTTGGATATAAACAAGACGCTGGCTGACAGTTCTTATAAAACACACAGGAACCCAGTCTGTGTTTGAGGCCGATATTCCACAATGATGTGAGGAGACACAGAAGAAGCCTGGGTGATATATTGATCCACTGGATTGAGTGTGGCCTGAAGCTCAAGCTAATTCTGGAATTTACATTTCCATAGACAATAAATTCCTTTATAGTTTAAATTGGATTAGTTGGGATTTCTGACACTTACCCGGAAAATATTCAAATGCAATATTATGGAAATTTCTCCACTTGGGTCAAACTGCAAGAATGATTCACATCGTCAGTGGTGTTTTAGAATTTCTCACATAAGGGGCACCTGGGTGGTGCAGTCGGTAAACATCTGACTCGATTTTGGTTCAGGTCATGATCTCACGGTTCATGAGATGGAGCCCCGTCTAGGACTCTGCGCTGACAGTACAGAGCCTGCTTGGGGTTCTGTCTCTCCTCTCTCTCTCTGCCCCTCCCTCCCTGTGCTCTCTTTCTCTCGAAAGAAATAAATAAACATTAAAATAAAATAAAATTTCTCACATAAGGAATGCAATAATAGAGCAAAATCTAACTCTGCGATCAAGGAATTTAATTTCCGGCTTGTAATAGGTCCAGGCTCAAAATATTCATTAATGTTCTGAAATACTCAGGGGGAACATGGAAGGAACAGGAGCTGTGGACTCAGACAAACGTTATTTTTCCATCTCATAGTATAGGACAGGTGCTAAACTTGGATAAATTTACTTGGTTTCAAATAGGAGTGCTGCTCTTCTGAGATCTTGAGCAAATGATGGCTATTTCCTCAACTGTGAAAGGGGGTAAGTTTCACTTCACAGGGATATGGTGAAAATGAATAGATATTTTAAAAGTCTGGTCAAGTAGATACAATTTCTAGCCCGAGCAGCACAAATATGCATTCCATTCTGGACTCCCAAGTTGATACTTCAGAAAGGGCTTTCTCACCTCTTAGAAAATTAAAAGCAAGTAGCAATTCAATGTGCTTCCTTCCGAGTGGGCAGAAGTCAAAAAAGGAAAACAAAGGTATAGTTGTTGCCTAGCTGTCCACAAGGCTTCGATGGCATGCTATGTTGGCCATACCACAGTACTGAATGGGGGGCGGGGGTCAGAGAGAGAGAGGGAGACACAGAATCCGAAGTAGGCTCCAGACTCTGGGTTGGCTGTCAGTACAGAGCCCGATACGGGGCTTGAACCCACAAACTGCGAGATCATGACCTGAGCCAAAGTCGGACGCCTAACCAACTGAGCCACCCAGGTGCCCCAACATTTATTAACTAAATGTCTTAGGAATAAACAGAGCCTCTTATTCATCTTGACAAAAGTCATGAGATCTGGCAGCACTGAGCCTTTAGTCTTGTATTGCATGATAACTGTCAGGTGGAGAGTCGTGGCCTTCCCTCTGGAGGGGGCATACTCTTTCCTGTTAACCACAATCCCCACCATCTTTTCCCACTTCAAGAGCTCAAGGTAGAGCGGCAAGGTGCCTTTCTGTTGTGAGTGCGCAGCTATTTGACTTCTACTACAATAGGAATTTGAAGTATTTCTAATACTTTGTCCACCGTCTCATTCCTTTTTCTTTGCCTCTAGGGCGTTTTACTTATTTATACTACTTACCTGGCTTCTCAAACTCATTGGAGAAGTTTGAGACCCTTGATTTTGATTTTTCTACCATCACAGCCAGGAATTTTCTTCATGGCTCTATATTGAGGATCATGTTATTTCTTCTCCTTTTCTCCACTTTTCATCCAAGAAGGAGAGATGAATGAATGTTGACACATTTTGAACATCCTCCAAGCCCTTAGTTAAGAACTGCTGCATTGATGTATGGGCATCACTTTCATTTAGGTTATCTTTTAAGTACCCAGTTAGTTAAGGTGATTGTGTCCATTTTACAGGTGAGATGATGGGGTACAACAAGTTTAGATGACTTATCCTTGCCAGAATTAATTTAGAATTCATGTCTGGGTCACCTGTCACATAGGGAGGAACACGGTGTCAGCTAAAATATGCAGGTCTCTTAGAAAGCCATTTAGCAATGGATGAACTGAACTTGGGGTATGAATTCCTTTTTTCTCTGCACCAAGACAAAACCTATAATTTCTACCCTCCTTTTCCTCATAGAATGAGCTCCTCTTGAACTTTTCTCCACTGCATTTGTAAAGAAAATAATACAGAAGTAACTCTCAGGCTGCCATGCTGACAAACTCCTGCCCCACCCTGGGTTTCTTGGAAGTTGAGGAAGGCTAGGCCGCTAATTCTGCCTTTCAGCACGTGTAGACTTTTCCACAGAATTTGCTAAGCTGCCTGCCCAGCCCAAGGGCAGGAAAACTACAAGCTGACAGCTCACAGAAGTCTGTTTATTCTTAACCAGAATTAAGCACTATTAAAACCCAGAAAATGGCCAGGTTCATACAAGTGGCCATCTTCTTTTATTGTTTGCAGAGAAAACGCTTAGCTAGTAGGCAGGGCAAATTTCAAGTTCTGGAAAAAAGCTGCTGGTCAAGTCTTTTCTAGAAAAGAGCAATCAAGCCTTCCCTTTTGCACTTGACTGCCTTCTTTGTTTCCCCGACATGCACTCACATGTATTTTCCTAGACTCATTTCTGACCTCATTGTTGGAATCAAGAAGCTTCAGTGTCGATTGGGAGAGTCTCTGTTTGAGAAAGTGTGTGTGTGTGTGTGTGTGTGTGTCTGTGTGTTTTAGTGTATCCAGGGTGGAATCCTGAGAGTAGGTTGGGGATTTTAAACCTTGAAAAAATTGAGAGGGAAAGAAAAAAACAGAGTGGGCAGAAGAGAAGTAGAGAAAAGGAGGAAAGAAAGTTGAGAGGAAAATGGAGAAAGGAACGGCAAAGGACAAAGTGAAAAAAGAATTTTTTTAAGAATAAAAAATAGATAAACCATTCCTATGCGTTACTTGTAATCCACCTCACAATGCACAGAGGCACATCAGAACGTTAAGAACCACAGAAATAGGGTCTTCTCCTAAGGGAAAAAAAGAAGTCAGTTTGTGCTCTCTTACCAAATGCTCTGGTAAGATCTACCTCTTTGTGAAGGTTTAGCTGTAGGAGATCCTTAGGGAAAGATGGGAGGGGCTTCTCTAAAGTACTTTGCCGGAGGGGGGGAGGGGCAGGCAATGGACTCATTACTATACTCTCACCACTCAATATGCTCCACAGGCTAACTGTATCAGCATCACCTGTGAATTTGTTAGGGGGGAGGAAATACTACAGGAACAACAACAACAAAAATAACAAGTCCACAAAGGAGGATGAAAAGGCAACTGTATACAGAAAGGATAAATGATGTACAAGTAGGACGTACCTTACGTGGAGAAGGGTGAATTCACTCTAGTGCTGTAAGACCTTGCTATTCAAGGTCATAGGTAGACACTAGCATCACCTGGAGCTTGATAGACATGCCAAGCTTCAGGCTCCAACCCAGATCCCCTGAATAAGAATCTGTGTTATAAGGTTCCCCGGGGGATTCTTAATCAAAATTCTTGCTTTTGAGAAGCAGTGCTCTAGAGGTAGGTTTCTATCAGGGAGCTGTCGGTGAGGACCAGGAGCATTAGCTTCGCTGTGGCCTGAGAACCGTGAGGAATGCAAATTCTCAGACCCCACCCTGAATTTTCTGAATCAGAATCTCAGAGGGTAGGGCCCAGATGCGTAGGTTTTAACAAGCCTTC